TTCTAAAGAACTGGCTGGAAGAAATTTTGCTAACAGATATAGAGGTCAAACCAGAATTTTTCTTATTGGGAATTATAGAAAGAAAATATAAGAAAGATACAAATTATTTATTACTGCATATACTCACAGTGGCACGAATAGCCTTCGCTCAAAAATGGAAAGAGAAAGATATTCCAACTGAAGAGGAAATATTACTGAAGATCTTTAACTGCGCAGAAATGGACAGACTCACTTTGGAACTCAAGGATAAAAGCGAAACTAAGTACTACAAAATCTGGAAACAATTTTATGATTGGATAGATAACAAGAGGGTAGCCAAGACAAATGTATAGTATTAGAACACAGATATAGATGTTATAGATAAATGTATGTTTAAGAGATAAATAAATATACAGAAATAAGGGAAAAAGTATTAATATCATATATTATGCTTAAATAGTGAACAAAACTTAAGAACCATATGTTTATATGAGTACTAATATTATTGTAAAGTGACGGAATGTGTTTGGAACCAGTGATGTCATATCTATGTCCAATGTTTTTTAATTTTGTATTATTAATAAAAAACTTTTAATTTTTTTTTTAAAGGAAGCTTCTGTGCATGCGCAGAAGCGCACGCAGCCCCGTTGCGAACCGGTAGTAAAGGTAAGTAGAACCCACCCCTGCTGTGGATGTTGTAGTCATCACTGGAGAACTGGCTGTAAGTCATATTTTCAGTGTCACTATAACTCTGAACAATCACTAAATGAATGGCTGTAAATCAAGGACTACCTGTATGAGTTTCTCATACTTCCCTCATCTCCATTTGAGGAACACTGCACTAAATATGAAATGAAACAGCTGTTGGAGAGAGGGGAGATGAGAATTCCAGTTCCCAAAACCAACTCTTCCTCCCAAATCAGGAGGTCAGTGAAAATTCTTTCAAGTACAAGCCTGCATATGAAAGTCTTCTTACAAGAGAGATGCAAAACTATCTTGTTAATTTTTTATAGCCTTAACCGCTAAACAAGCTACTTTTTCAATAATTTATACCTGAATGGTGTGTCTAGACATGACATCATTTTAAGATATGCCTGATGTTTTTGTGGTCTATTTACAATAACCAGGATGTATAATTGCTTTCATTCAGGTCAGCAAAAGGGGGTGATTAGTGGGTTAAGGAGTGGTGGAGAAAAATCAAAAACCGCATAACAGCTGTTTTAGGGAATGGCTTTTAAAGGCTGTTGTTCTCTGTCAAGGAGGCAGGCCACAAATGTTAGAATCCCCATTGAATCAGTATTCTTTGCAGTAAGGAGGGACGGCAAATACCGCAGATAATCTCCAATTCGTAAGTAGTTTCTTGTGGATGGTTTCCATTAAAGTCATGAAAGCAAGCCAGTTGTGGTTAATGTATAATATCTATGTGTATGGGTGTAGACAGACTGACACGGCAAGGACAAGATCCTGAACGTATTTATAAAACATGATCTTTTCAAGTACGTTATGCTTTTCGATCTTTCCGTGCGGATCTGGATGGGGAAGAACAGGCTCAGGCTCAACCCATCCAAGACCGAGTGGCTGTGGTTTCTGATGTCCCGATATAGTCAGTTGACGCCATCGCTGACTATTGGGGGCGAATCGCTGGCCCCCACGGAGAGGGCTCGCAACTTGGGTGTCCTCCTGGATTCACAGCTGTCTTTAGAAGAGCACTTGACGGCCGTGACTGGGAGGATTTTTCATCAGGTTCACCTGATTCGCCAGTTGCGTCCCTTTCTGGATCGGGACTCCCTACACACAGTCACTCATGCCCTCATCACTTCCCGCCTGGACTACTGCAACGCTCTCTACATGGGGCTCCCCTTGAGGAGCACCCGGAGGCTCCAACTGGCGCAGAGTGCGGCCGCGTGGGTAGTTATGGGAGCAACATGGCGCTCCCGTGTGACACCTTTCCTGCGCGAGCTGCACTGGCTCCCGGTGGTCTTCTGGGTGTGCTTCAAGGTTCTGGTTACCACCTTTAGAGCGCTCCATGGCTTAGGACCTGGTTATTTACGGGACCGCCTACTACCACAAGCAGCCTCCCACCGGCCGGTACGCTCTCATAGAGAGGGGCTCCTTCGGGTGCCGTCAGCTAAACAATGTCAACTGGCGGCCCCCAAGGGGAGGGCCTTCTCTGTGGGGGCACCCACTATCTGGAACGAGCTCCCCCCAGAGATAGGGAGGATCCCGGATCTACGCACTTTCCGCCGTGCTCTTAAGATTCTTCTATTCCAGCAAGCTGGCCTGGCCTAATTTTCTCCCCTATTTTAAAATTCTTTTAAATCGAAATTTTAATTTGTTTTAAATTATTGGGATTTTTTAATTGTCTTGGGCTAAATTATTTAATCTGGTTTTAATTATATCTTTTAACTTTTGTATTTATGTATTTTATTCTGTGCCTGTTCACCACCCTGAGTCCTTCGTGAGTAGGGCGGTATATAAATCTAATAAAAGAAAGAAAGAAAAGAAAGGAAGATTTGCCTTTGAGCAGGGAGCAAGACAAGGTATAAAGTCCCCTTAGGTCAGGGGTCTCCAACCTTGGCAACTTTAAGACTTGTGGACTTCAACTCCCAGAGTTCCTCAGCCAGCTTACATATAAGGAATATTTGCTGTGATGTTAGAGGTGCAGTGCAGTTGCTGGTGACAGGAATGGGTGTGCATTTTTGTACACAGATGAAGTCATCATTTTGCTGACAGCTCAAATGATTTTGCGGCAAATGTCAGTCATGTCAAATGTCACAGGAAGGAGCACAGATTTGAAAATTAATATAGTGAAGATGAAGGTAGCTGTATGTGGGTGGGGGGAAGAGCAAACAAATCCAAGTTATACATAAATGGCAAAAAGCTAGTCAAGGTATTTGTATTGTATTATATTTATTCAATAAGGTATGTTCACTTTCTTGAGTTGACCAAGTATTTTAAAAAAGTGGGATAAGATGATGATGACAATAATAATAATAATAGTTAATACAATACTAGACAAGACAGTATCAACAGTAGAGACCTTCTAGATTCTACCATATCTCAAGACCTAAAATGGACACCTAACATCAAAAATGTCATTAAAAAAGCCCAACAAAGAAAGTTCTTTCTGCACCAACTCAGAAAGCTCAAACTGCCCAAGGAGCTGCTGATACAGTTCTACAGAGGAATTACTGAGTCTGTCATCTGCACCTCTATAACTGTCTGGTTTGGTTCTGCAACCCAGCAAGACAGACACAGACTTCAGAGGATAATTAGAACTGCAGAAAAAACAATTGCTACCAACCTGCCTTCCATTGAGGATCTGTATACTGCACGAGTCAAAAAGAGGTCTGTGAAAATATTTACAAACCCCTCACATCCTGGACATAAACTGTTTCAACTCCTACCCTCAAAACGACGCTATACAGCACTGCACACCAGAACAACTAGACACAAAAACGTTTTTTTCTGAATCTTTCTCTTTCTCTTTATTTGATTTGTATACCGCCCTACTCCCGAAGGACTCAGGGCAGTGAACAGCCAAACAGTAAAATACATAAATATAAAATTTAAAAACAGGATAAAATCAAATTAAACAATTTGGCCCAGACAAATTAAAACACCCCAGTCATTTTAAAAACAGATTAAAATTTACATGTTTAGAAAGAAAAGAGGGAAAAAGATTAGGCCAGGCCCGCCTGGTGGAATAAAAAGGTCTTCAAAGCGCTGTGGAAGGTGCGCAGATCCGGGATCCCCCATATCTCCGGGGGGAGCTCATTCCAGATAGTAGGTGCCCCCACAGAGAAGGTTCTCCCCCTAGGGGCTGCCAGTCGACATTGTTTGGCTGATGGCACCCGGAGGAGCCCCTCTCTATGAGAGCGTACCGGCCGGTGGGAGGCTATTGGTGGTAGTAGGCGGTCCCGAAAGTAACCAGGTCCTAAGCCATGGAGCGCTCTAAAGGGTGACTCAGCCAACCAGGAGGACCCAGATTGTTGGGGGTAATAGGCTGAGTCTGTAAACTGCTTAGAGAGGGCTGTAAAAAACGCTGTGAAGCGGTATATAAGTAAGTGCTATTGCTACTAACCTCCCAAAAAGGCAATAATTGCATATTTTTGGCCAAATCAATATATTGAGTGCAAGAAATTAGATTTTTCTCAAATATAAAAGGAAAAACTCTGTTTTTGAAAGCTGCACAGGCAGAGGCAGACTCATCTGGGAATCTGTCTACCTAATGGTTTCAGAAATTTTGTGGAAACCTATCTGATGTTGTTTAATAAGCACTTCTCAACTGGTCTATTTACAGGTTTCAGAAAGATTGCTTAGAAATGTCAATGGCTTTATTTAAGAACAAACACTGTGAAATGTCTATTTGGTGGATGGCACTTCTAAGGACCAATAATTGAAGTATTAAAGAAAATCAGAACAATTTTACTGTATTTCATTTTTATCTTTAATCAAATAAATTCTGCAGATTTTTGAACCAGTATAAAAGATCCAAGATTAATAGAGGTATCATTCTTAATTCTTTATTTCTGACTTTATATCTACCCGAAAGGAAAACTATGCCCTCCCCAAAATTAAATTTATAAGTCATTTTACTTTTGCTAAAAATCCAATAAGGGAAGTAATAGATCCCTGTGGTCTATTTTTTGTTTGACATCTTCAGTGTCATTTTTCTTTGAGATGCAATTGGTATTTAAGTCAGGATTAGAAGGAGTGTAGGAGTTATATTCAAGCATCAGTGCAGTCAATACAAGGTTAAGAGACGGAGGTTAGAACACAGGGTGATTTTCCACTCTCTTTTCAATCTGTTAGAAAAAATTCTCCTTGCACACTTTGCTCTGGGTCTCTATCTTTAAAAAGGAAAGAGATTTAAAAATAAAACAAACTTTACAATTTCATAGAAGAGGCGGGGCTTAACTCTACTCCTTACCTAGTCTATGGCTGAGCATGTGAGCTCAGCATTCTTCATAAACTACAGCTCCCAGAATCCCTTGGGAGAAACCAGGGCAACTAAACTGTTTACATTCTCCAGGGAGAAGCCAAAGCCTTAGTTACTAAACTCAGAGGGAGATGAACCAGGCACAAACTCTGCTGCTTGATGGTCTCATCAAGACAAAGCATGTCCACAAAGCTGCCCTTATCAGACTATCCGACATGAATGTGATGACATCAACACAAGGCTTTGGTATTCAGAACTGGGCCTCAGTCATTGTCCAAGCCTTCTTCAACAACCCGGCCCAAATGCGAAAGGAAGGGCAGTACTTTTATGACCGGTATTATAAATGCTTCCGAGCAGATGGCAACTCCATCTACCTTAAAGCAAAAGAAGAGGGAGTGATACTAGTTAAAACAGCAAGCTTTGTCCTGGTCGGAACATATTGCCAAGGCATGTACCCCAGTGTCTGCGTCGAGGCAGTGGAGAAACTAGCAGACTACCTGAGAGCAAAAGGGAACTGAAGAAAGTAAAGAAGAAGGAAAAGAGCAACAGAACTTTCTACTCAAAATTCTTGCTTGGCACAACCAGGAGAAAAAGAAATGTCCCTTTCTGAACAACACAATGGGTTCCCTGCAGGTCAGTCTCAATGGACGTGTCCTTTGGAGGCACACAGGAGAATACCCAGCATCATCATTAAACACTTTCAAAGTGTAGACAAGTATCTTGAGGTGGAATTGAATTACTATTTCCAGAGAAAGATATAGCAGGCAAGCATGGGCGGAGACGGACACCATTTCCTTGCTATTAACCTGCAACGAAAAGGAAACCGGCTGAGGTTGGCAGAGCTGTTGCCACGACAACGACAAGTCCCTTGTTGAGAAAAAGGACCACCAGGTTGCCAAGGCAATGGACCACTGGGCTTCCATGGGGAATTTCCTGTCAGAGCCAGCTCTACCGTTGGACGGAGTAAGGTAGCAGCTTAAAAATGCAGCAAACCGTTGTTTCCTTGGTTTTATTCTCAAGAAGAGGCAGTTCTGGGATTTTGCTTTGCCTCAGTTACAACTTGGATTGCCTTTGGTCCCCTTGCTGCCAGACGTAAATAATGTTTTCTATCAAATCTTGGGTGCACATTGTCTTTGCCATGCCAAGTAATAAACAGGGCGGCTTTTTTCAAGCTGAAGACTGTAACCGGCCACAGACTGGCATGCCAGGGTTGTGCTACTTTGAAAGCAGAGTTTCATGCCATTTTGAAAGCAGACAGGTCCAAAGGAGTGGGTGAGCAAGGAGGAGTAATTTTAAATTTGAGTTAATGTTAATTTGTAAATCTTCAATAAATGTGGTTAATAGTATTCCCTGTCTGAATTATTTTCCTCTTCTCTTCCATTAAGCATTACAGTTGGGGAGGGTGACTTTTGAAGAAGTACAAGCATACCTTGGGGATATTGTGGGTTCAATTCCAGACCACTGCAATAAAGCAAATATCGCAATAAAGTGAGTCACAGAAATGTGTTGGGTTTCCAAGGGCATATAAAAATGATGTTTACAATGAACTGTAGACTATTAAGTGAGCAATAGCATTATGTCTAAAAAAAACCACCAATGTGGATACCTTAATTAAAAAATGACTTTATTGCTAAACAGTGCTAATCATCATTTGAGCCTTCAAAGCCATAATTATTTTGTTGGTGGAGGGTCTCGTAAAACACACACACACACACACATAGAAAGAGAGAGAGGGAGGGAAGGAGGGAGGGAGGGAGAGACAGTATCTGCAAAGCACAATAAAGTATAATGCAATAAAATGAGGTATGCTTGTACAAGGGGCCACACACAAGGTTTTCTAAGTCCATATGTGGCCCTGGGGCATAAAAGTGGTCATCCCTTATATAGAGAGGAATAAATAACCATTTTTATTCTCTTTTTCCATTTTTTCTCTGCCTTTTTCTCATCCTCATCTCCTCACCACTTTTGTTTTACCGATACTTTTTTCCTTTCAGCCCTGCAGTTTGCTGGAAAAGAGACAAATTTCTTTTGTTATAAATCTTAACTCACCACCACCACCACCCCAAGGCTGATAATGTTAGGCCAAGGACTGCAGGTTTATTACCTCAGGTAAGGAAACTTGGAGGGAAAGCCTGGGATGCAACTTAGAACACTACAATGTCAATTGTAGGTGCCGTCAGCTAGGCAGTGTCGGCTGGCGACCCCCAGGGGGAGGGCCTTCTCTGTGGCAGCACCTGCCCTCTGGAACGATTTGCCCCCAGAGATACGGAGGATATCAGATCTCCGGGCTTTTCGCTGCACCCTAAAAACTTTTCTCTTCCATCAGGCAGGGCTGGCGTGAACCCCCCCCCCCCCCCGTTTTTGAGATATTAGATTTTTAATTGTTTCATGGGTTTTAGTTGTAAGGTTCTTAATTTTTCAGCCAAAGGATATATTTCTTTTAAATTTTTAACTTTTGTATTGGATGTTTTTTACTTGGCTGTGCACCGCCCTGAGTCCACCAGGAGAAGGGTGGTATACAAAGTTAAATAAAATAAATAAATAAATAAATAAAATGAGGCCATTTTAACATCCGAGTTTCCAAAGCTGGGTTTCTCACCTGGCGGAATCTTCTTTACCCATACTGGGACACAGAAATAAAGCAAGAGGAGAAAAGCAAGCAATACAGGATTTAGAATAGTTGTCAATATGTTTTCTTCCATCTAAATTAATACATTCGTTTCTGTACATAGTTTCATTCCAGACAATTAAAAATAATTCTATTTTTAATTCTCACTAGCATAGTCAAGAGATCCAGATCTCATCTAAGAAAGCCCCAGGAGCTACTGTGTAGAAGCTTTAAGCCAATCCCACATTACTGAATAATTTTACTAAAGACATTTTGATTTGACCAGTGGTGGAATTCAATTTTTTTTACTACCGGTTCTGTGGGCGTGGCATGGTTGGCATGGCTTGGTGGGCATGGTGTAGCTTGGTGGGTGTGGCAGGGGAAGGATACTGCAAAATCCCCATTCCCACCCCACTCCTGGGGGAAGGATATTGCAAAATCTCCATTCCCACCCCACTCTGGGGCCAGCCAGAGGTGGTATTTGCCAGTTCTCCGAACTACTCAGAATTTCCGCTACCGGTTCTCCAGAACCGGTTAGAACCTGCTGAATAGCACCCCTGTATTTGACTGTTTCTCCAAGGACTTCGGGAAGCACATGGGTTTTCTCCCCCTAATTTCCACATCTGAAAACAAGACAGGCAGGCAGACAGACAGACCTACAAACAGGGAGGGAGGGAGGGAGGGAGAGAGAGAGAGAGAGAGAGAGAGAGAGAAAACAACCCCTGATTACCAGGCTGAGTTTCTCGTTAAAAGCTTAAGCGTGTTTCAGGCCTTTGTTCCAAAATACTCCTCAAACAGGTGCAACTTAGATACAGCAGATTCCAATAGGCTAAAAATCATTTCAAATAGATGGTCATATAAATTCACAAATAACATCAACAATAATCATGAGGAAGAGGAGAGCATGCCCACATACAAATGCTCTCCATCCACTTAGTTTCACTCCCCATCCTTACAAGCAGTCCTCAAATTACAAAGGCAATTGGGATGTGGTTGTAAAGCTTGATGTCATGTGACTGAATTGCTTAGCAACAACCATCCCAATTGCGGTCAAAGCCCCAGGAATATGGAGGTCATTAAACAAGGCCCTCACATAACAGTGTGGGAAGAAGTGGGATTCCCAGGCAAGCAACCCAGCAGGCAGTGGGATGAGTGCTATGAATGGGTGCTGGCAAGCAGAGGCATGGGTGGGCAGATGAGCAAGTGCTATAGGTGCTATGAAGTGGGTGGGTGGGTGGGCAGGTGCTGCAGGCAGGGACTATAGAGGCAGGCAAAAAAACAGCAAGACCCATCTTCTGCCAGTTTCCCAGTTGCTTGTGCGAAGACAGAATGGAAGGTAACCAATGGCGTTGATATCACTGCAGGATGCTGCAACTATAGTAATTGTGAGTTGGATGTCAAATGCTAAAATTCCAATCACATGACCGCAGGGATGTTGTAAACAGTCACAACTTTATGGATTGGTCATAAGTCTCCTTCATTCATCACTCTGTTGTAACTTTGAACAGCCGCTGAATAAGTGGTTGTAATCTGAGGTCAACCTGTATTCTCTAAGAGGGAAAGCTGGAAGCAGATTTCTTTCTTTCTTTCTTTCTTTTTTTTAATCAAGTTTTATTGATCCCCCCCGCATCTTTTTTTGAACAGAGTATTGGCCATTTCTTATCTTATACAATTTTTCAAGTTCAAATACATTTTACTCAATTACAATTTTTGCCAAAATCTTCCTTTTTTCCCTATTTTTTCTTTAATTCATATCTCAATATTTCTATATTTATTTATATAAACAACGTCTTCATTCGCTCTCAAATTCTAATTTTCCTGTTTGTTCACATTTATTCTCTTTTATTTTTTAACAATTTCTTCTTTATCTTCATATATTCATATGTGTGTTTGGGGTTGCCTTTCTTCCATTTCCTCTTTTTTGTTATACAACAATCTTTCTTCTCAGTCTCTTCCCTCTCCCTCACTTCCTTCTTACTTTCTTTCCCTCTTCTCCTGCTCCTTACTACTTCCCCTTCCTTTCTCCTTCTCCTCCTTTCTTCCTCCCTGACTAACCCTCTCTCCTACTCTGATTTCCCCTTCCTTTTCTTCCTCCCCCTCTTCTATCCCTCTCTCCCCTTCTCTCCCATCTCTCTACTTCTTCTTCCATCTCTCTCTATTGCTGTATAGATTTTCAATTTAATATTTTCACTATGGTGTCAGGCAACCCCGACCTTTCTTTCATTTATTAAATATCTTTCTCAAAATTCTTATTTTTTTAATTGTTAACAATATATATTTATAATTCACAGCTTAATCATTTCTAATTGCCCCCAATCTAATTACTTCTTATTTTAATCTTAATTTGCCTTCTTTCTTTTTTTGATTACATTTCAAATATATAGTTTAAAATATTCCAATTTATTACAATTCCTCCAATTAAATTTATTCATATTATTACAACTTATCATTTTATAAACCTCTAACACTGCACTTAAAACTTTGACAATTCTTTCAATTTCTCAAATTTTCAATAGAGCATGTTTAAAACATAAAACATCAAACATAAATCTTATTTCATTTACTTCATACATCTCTATAATTTCCCATTATTTTAAATCACTTAATTAGTATCACTTTTATCTTTTTTCTAACACTCATCTTATCTGTTAAATCTTACAATTCTAAATTTATTCCCCCTTTCATTTCTCCTTTAATTTTTATATCCAACCAATCTGTTTATAATCCAATCCAAACCTGAAAAGTCCAAATTCCAACTTCACATTTTCATTCATATTCAACTTTAAATCTTTAGTCGCGCTTGTCACTTCCATATTTTTTCTCTATCAGTTGTCTCCCCTGTCGCTATTTAGCCGCTATTTCCACACTGGGGTAATTCTAAAATTTTCCAATTTTTCTTTTATTACCAGTGAGTTGACCAATCACTCATCCGGTACCAGTACTCTGTCCAAATCTTCACTCCTGCACAACACTTATTCCGGATGCTCCGGCTTCATGGCGATTCGCACTGATTGCCGCCCCCCATTGCCGGATCGAAGAGTTTTCTTGGGCTTTCCAAGGAACTTGCCTGTTCCTCTATAGCTACCGAGCTGCCTCTCCTTCTTCACTGTCCCTACAGGACAGATCCGGTCCAAAAACCCCTCCCCCAGAGACGATTCGTCTTTGGAGCCTGGTATTTTCCCAACCAGTCACGCTGCTCGTGGAAGCAGATTTCTGCTTTAGCATGGTTCAAATGATTCCATCAGATATCCCTGCTACAGTATTTCCTAGTATGCCAAGGACTGTGTGAAGATACAGGTAGTCCTCAACTTACAACCATTTGTTTAGACTGTTTGAAACTGTTAGAATTTATGGCAAATTCCATGAAAATACTTTATTGATCTTCAGTCCTGCTTCTTCCCTACACATCACACAGACATACATACAGAGAGAGAGAGATTCATTTACCTCTGATATTCTGTGATCAAGCTTTTATGACTCTGTAATCCCTTAATTCAGGGTAGGAGAAGGAGAAAAACCTAGGTAATACAGTTAAAAATGGGACTTTTAACCTAATACATTATGCAAGATTTCCGCCACCCAGTCATATCTCTTTCAAGAGTCTCAAACCCTTCCTTGGTTTTCTATTTTTTTTCCCACTGTAATTTTCTAGCATTCTGCATTATTTATTTGAAAAATGTACACATTGTACTTCATAATATAGCTTTCTTAAGCTATATTAATATAGCTTAATGTTTA